ATTGTTAAATCCGTACGGTGACCTATAGTTGATAATTTCTATGTATTTTGGTCTCTGGTTGAGAGTTGTCTCATTGGCAATCGTACCATATCTTCTAACTTTTGTATTCTTTGGTCAAGAATTTGGCCTAAACACAAGGTTGTGTCTTATCTCCGGCCCTTTTCTCTGTTCCAATGAATGACCTCGTAAATATGCTTGAAGCCAGCAATTTCGGCGTCGAACTAAAATGAATTGTTTTTTTTTTTTGCTGATGATGAAGTCCTTACAGAGAAGTCCGAGGAGGAACTACCTCGTCTTCTTTATTGATATATATATATACCAGTCTAAATTGAAAACAACATTCAAACCTATGATTGCGTTGGATAAAAACCGCAATTTTATACGTGTGCATGCAAAACAAATTTCTTGGTAGAGGGGTCTAAATACAGCACATGCAAACAACATTTTCCAAAAGACCAAAAAAGTGAAAAAATATATTTTAACAAAACGCATTTGACTAGCAGGTCGAACAATTGATGTTTTTAAACCCTACTGATTGCCATTGGCGATTGCCAAATAAACGGATCACAAGATGTAACAAAATGGATCTTATAATTAATTTATTACCAAACAGAAAACAACAAACTTGCGAAAAAGATGGTATATATATATATGTATATATAATTCGTCTAAATAACAGCCCAACAATGTTAGATCTGTAAATTGCAGAAGCAATTTTTTTGTTCTTCCCTGGCCGTGATTCGAACTCATGCTACTGAGATATCGTGGCACCAAATCGCCTTGCACTATGCCCGACGCGCTAAACCACTCGACCACCTAGGCTCGACAAAAATCAAGCTTTCGGTGACCGGGTGTTACCTTTCCTCGTCAGTTTTTATCTAGCGTCGTAACACAGTACATGATATATAAGGCATGAAGATGGAATATTACAGATCAGCTGAATTATCTATCGTAGAGGATCTTACAAATTTATGTAGGATGCAGTCACAGAAATAATTGTATTATAAGTACGTCTGAACCAGTGACAACTCAAAGACGGATTTTATCCATCGGATCACCAGTGATGGTGATACAAGGCTGAAAACACATTCTGTATACATAATTCGTCTAAATAACAGCCCAACAATGTTAGATCTGTAAAGGAGAAGGCCCAGTAAGACCCCTTTTTGGCCCCAAAATATAGCAGTTTTTCAAAATTGTTAAAATGTAAATTTTTAGCTATTTATTAGAAAGAAGAATACATCTGTTACATAGATATGGGCAGTTTTTGACAATACAATGCGCATGTATCTGGTAGTAGCATCATTAAGTCATGCTAAATTACTGAAATCTTCGAAAGTTTAGCATTTTGGTTAATTTTTAGACGGTTTCCGTCTAAAATGGAAGTGGCCGCATTTGTGTTCATTCTTAATATTTGAATGTAAGTTGTATTTAATGATAATACATAACATATACTAGTATAAAGGTTGAGAATGAACACGGATGCGGCCACTTTCATTTTTGACAAAAACCATCCGAAAAGTGACATATTATGGCATATTTGATAGATTTTTCATATTTAAGCTTGAATTTGAGCGACTTTAATGACTAAATCAGTTCAAATCTTTCACATAAAGTAATTGAATCGGCTGAAGTAGACACTTAATTAAGTGTTTAAAAAGTGTCAAAAATCTTTCATCAGATGAACCTGAATTTTGAGGCCAAAATCGGCCCTTACCGGACCTCCTCCTTTGCGGAAGCAAATTTTTTGTTCTTCCCTGGCCGGGATTCAAACTCATGCTACTGAGATATCGTGGCACCAAATCGCCTTGCACTATGCCCGACGCGCTAGACCACTCGACCACCTAGGCTCGACAAAAATAAAGCGTTCGGTGGCCTAGTGTTACCTTTCCTCGGTGGTCGATGTGATGCCTTTCCTCGTCGACTTTATCTAGGGTTGTAACACAGTACATGATGTATAGTGGCAAGTAAATGGTGTACCTTTCAGTTGAAGGAAGAACACAAATTTGCTAACACAAATGATTTGCAGATCTAACCTTGTTGGGCTAAATTTAAGACGTATTATATATATATATATATATATATATATACATATATACAAGTCTAAATTGAAAACAACGTTCAAACCTATGATTGCGTTGGATAAAAACCGCAATTTTTATACGTGTGCATGCAAAACAAATTTCTTTGTAGAGGGGTCTAACTACAGCACAAACAACATTTTCCAAAAGACCAAAAAAGTGAAAAAGTATATTTTAACAAAACGCATTTGACTAGCAGGTCGAACAACGGATGTTCTTAAACCCTGCTGACTGCCATGGCGATTGCCAAATAAACGGATCACAGATGTAACACAATGGATCTAAATTATATTAATTTAATACCAAACAGAAAACAATAAACTTGCGGAAAAGATGGTATACCGCAAACATGAGGTGCAAAAACTTGTACACCATATCCGGATTTCGACAATTAATGTCTCTTCAGTGATGTTAGGAATAGAAACGGTATTTGGAAGGCCATATAATTTACCTCAATTTGGGATTGACTCTTGAATTTTGAAGAGTCGAAATAGGATGAACGGATCATATAAACCCGAAGGCAAATATAATACAAGCCCAAACGAAAAAATATAAACAAGTCTAAATTGAAAACAACGTTCAAACCTATGATTGCGTTGGATAAAAACCATAGATTCATTGTGTTACATCTGTGATCCGTTTATTTGGCAATCGCCATGGCAGTCAGCAGGGTTTGAGAACATCCGTTGTTCGACCTGCTAGTCAAATGCGTTTTGTTAAAATATACTTTTTCACTTTTTTGGTCTTTTATATATATATATATATATATCATGATGTTAGCCCTGTATAACCACGTGTTATCCGATGGAGAAAGTTTGTCATGAAGTTGTCACATGTTTAGACGTGTATAATAAAATTAAAATTTGATGTGGCGGCATGGTAATCCGCATTATCATCCTTTACGACGGACAAAATAGCTGATCTGAAAGGTACATAAAATTTAAATATAATAATTGTGTTGTTAGTACAGAAACATTTTTTGCAAAATATATTTGTTATTCATAGTACGAGTACACACTTTTGATACACTACATCACCAATCGCTTAGCCTCATGTCCGGCGCCCTAGACCACTACCTCCGCTATATAAAAATATAACTTCAATAATCGTAGTGTTACCTTGTCACGTAAGACGAATCTAGAGATAGGCATAAGACATGTGTTTCAAGCGTGTGTTATATTATTATATATATATTATATGATCCGTTCATCCTATTTCGACTCTTCAAAATTCAAGAGTCTATCCTAAATTGAGGTAAATTATATAGCCTTCCAAATACCGTTTCGATTCCTAACATCACTGAAGAGACATTAATTGTCGAAATCCGGATATGGTGTTCTAATTTTTGCACCTTTTGTTTGCGGTATACCATCTTTTCCGTAAGTTTATTGTTTTCTGTTTGGTATTAAATTAATAGTTACGATCCATTGTGTTACATTCTAGTGGTCCGTTTTATTTGGCAATCGCCAATGGCAGTCAGTAGGGTTTAAGAACATCCGTTGTTCGACCTGCTAGTCAAATGCGTTTTGTTAAAATATACTTTTTCATTTTTTTGGTCTTTTGGAAAATGTTGTTTGTGCTGTATTTAGACCCCTCTACCAATAAATTTGTTTTGCATGCACACGTATAAAAATAGCGGTTTTTATCCAACGCAATCATAGGTTTGAACGTTGTTTTCAATTTAGACTTGTTTATTTTTTTTCGTTTGGGCTTGTATTATATTTGCCTTCGGGTTTATATGATCCGTTCATCCTATTTCGACTCTTCAAAATTCAAGAGTCTATCCTAAATTGAGGTAAATTATATGGTCTTCCAAATACCGTTTCGATTCCTAACATCACTGAAGAGACATTAATTGTCGAAATCCGGATATGGTGTACTAATTTTTTAACCTTTTGTTTGCGGTATACCAACTTTTCAGCAAGTTTATTAATTTAATACAAAACAGAAAACAATAAACTTGCGGAAAAGATGGTATACCGCAAACAAAAGGTGCAAAAATAAGTACACCATATCCGGATTTCGACAATTAATGTCTCTTCAGTGATGTTAGGAATCGAAACGGTATTTGGAAGGCCATATAATTTACCTCAATTTAAGATAGACTGTTGAATTTTGAAGAGTCGAAATAGGATGAACGAATCATATAAACCCGAAGGATATATATATATCCAACGCATTCATAGGTTTGAACGTTGTTTTCAATTTAGACTTGTATATATATATATATATATGTATATTAGTTCTTTTGTTTCTAAGTGGAATCAAACAAATCCAAGGTTATGATAATGGGTAATGGTTTAGATAAAAATAAGAAATGGCAACTAGGTAATCTGCTCCTTAACTAATCCAATGAATACAAATATCGGAGATTATTTTACCGTTCATTGACATTTGCTTGCCATATTAATTGTTATTAAAAAGATAACTTCGAGCGCAAGTTCAGTTATATGTCTAATTACGTTGCTAAATGAACACAGATCTTTCAATCGTGTATCCTTTGGAGATGCCCTCTTTAACTTAAATTGTTGAGATTTTATCTTATATTATGCTGTTATATCTTTCATGAACGATGACTTGTTTTAAAGGGTGTCAATTTTTTATGTGTATTTTATTTTAATTGTACATTATTCTTTGTACAAGTATATGATATTAAACACATTTGTGGGTACCCTGCCTGTACGTTCCCCCGTTGTAAAGAGGTAGTTTCTTAATAAATATAAAAAAAAAATGTTACTCATTTTAAGTTTGCTTCTATTGAAAAGTGATAACATATTTTTTTTTATCAGACAAAATTAATCTGTAAAATACAGTATTGCATTGTAATTGCATACAAAGAACAACACTATAAAATATAATATGTTAATATAACACGGAAAACTAAATGTAATTTATGTTAGTGTCTCGCTTGATTAATACATTTTGTTGTAATCTTATAAAACACACACGTATGAAACAAAATACAGAATATAATACTGATGGTTATTCTACAGATAACATCGCCAATGTTTTATCAATATGTTTATATACCGTTCTACAGAAAAAGTAATTCCACTGTAATCTGATATCTACAGTGCATTACTGAACAGCCATAGATATAAAGGTTATAGGCATATAAACCTGTTGCAGTGCCAACGTGTATATACATACTGTGCTAATATACGTTAATTATTTCAAGGTTTGGGATTTATTAGATCTAATTATTGGTCATTAGAGGGACATACGATAGTGATTTTTTTCGAAGTCATTTCGAGAGTTAAGTTGTGTTTGACCCGCCGCTTGTTGTGACCTCTTAGGAATTTATTGGAATTTAGTATTTTTTCATATGGAGTTATGAAAGGGATATAATCATTGTTTCCAAAAGTTTTATTTATTGTGTGTGTAATTTTTGTTGACATGGCAGACGTTGAAGAACCAAAAGATAGTCGTTTTGATGACGTTGACCTTGAGAGTATTTTAGCAAGGGTAGAAAGACGAGGACCTTTGACCTTTACTAGGAAGCGATGCTTATACCGAGGTAAGTAAATTAACGAACTAAGATAGTTTATTTGTGTGAAATTTTGTGATTGCACATTAAGTCACAAACAGTGTAACACCAAATCTATTTGTCAAAGAACTATAATCTAAATTGGTCATGCACACAATTGATGTATAAAGTATACCAGATGCGGATCCATAATTTTGAAAAAAGGGGAAAGGGGGGGGGGGGCAAACTAGGCAACGTTTGGAGAAGGACATTTAAAAAGTCAATGCTTTAACAAATATATAGTTCAATAAGGGGTGGGCTGCCTCCTCCTTAATCCGCTTCTGAATACACTCAATGCAATACACTCAAATTTCTGTTTTTATAAAGAACTGGTAAGGAATTTGCATAAGTCAGTCCGGTTACCTTCTTATTTGTAACACAGTTTTGGCGAAAAAGAAATAAAGATATCGCTTTGATAATATAGTTTTAAGTGTTATACATACATACTTATTTAAAGATATTAACTTTACGTTAATAATTGACTCTTTGATGGAGGCGATATTGGTAAATAAGTTAAATCTATCTATCTATTTCTGTACATGTATCATGAAAGAAGCATCTGTCATGTCTGTATGCAACACATAAACACCTATTCAGTCAGAAATGACATGTATGTCGTACTTTTGTCTGTGCTAGAATATGAATAATATATGTTAGGTATACGTCAATGAGACAGCAACCTATCAACACGAGACACCAAAATAAACATGCAGTTTCAGGCAACAATAGACAGGTGTCATAACAATTAAAAGTAAACCAGAAACACTAGACTATAGTGGGTCTCTTATTGTGATAACATTGTCAAAATCATCTAAGATAGCTCTTCGAACTTTGATTGCGTCATTTTTCGCGAGAATACTATATAGTCTTGAAATGCAGAATTTATGGACTATATACTGAGACAAGTTGAGAATAAAATTAACAGAGACAATCAAAATCAACATTACTAACACCAACTTTTCCAAATCACAAAAACATTATCATGAATATTATATGATTATAAGATTATAAGTAATTATGTACAGCATAAGCTGTTGGGACTTAACAAATCTTTTTCCATTTGATTTTATATATATGGTCTAAAATAAGGGGGTGAGTTTAAAACTCTTACTACAGCAAAGAATTTCAATAGGTAACCTTCTGTTCCATGTAAACAGTGACGTTATAAAAAAAGAGGCGAAGGATACCAAAGGGACATGAGCTACAGACATCCAATATCACAAAACAACGAGCCTAGCATTGAGGGTCTGCATGAGTTTACAGAATGGACAATAATAGAAAAAAACAGAGAACAATGGACCCCTAAAAAATCAGAAAAGAGAATAATGGGGTGCTAAAATATAAGAAATAGAGAATAATGGGGTGCTAAAATATAAAAAATAGAGAATAATGGGCAATATAAATGAAGAATAGAGAAAAATGCCCGAAAGAATTAAAGAATACAATAATGGAGACCACACACAGACCCTCAGTTACACTATTAAATCCTAAATTAGACGCATAAAAGCTACAGTTCGAAATCGTAGCCCTTGCTTCTAGATAGTGATGTCTTCTACTCAAAGAAAGAGCCATATTATTAAAGGAAAGCCTCGGTCGAGGTGGTTTATGTTTGGACAATGGAAATCTTCCAGTCCGTTAGAGACTCCTTTTGCACAGGATACAAATGAAAAGACCCAATTTAGGAACTGTTAATGTCTAAATTAGACAATACTTTCAGGCTTATCAAATATTTCTTATAATTTCGTAGAATTGTTGCAACTTTGCGCCAAACTTCTCTCCTTTTCTGACAAGTTTCATATATTGCTAAATTTGTTTGATACCCTATATAATGGTCAGCCATGAGATCAGCGACCAGAGAAAACTGACCATGTAAGAGATGTGACCTTTTAATTGAGGTTCAGGATATATTACAATATCGGGACATGAAGGGGGTACCCTGACAAGACAGGTTTTCCCTTAATAGAGGTGACCTTTATAGCAGGATTCAAAGTACTTCCGGTAGCTAGATAATGCTGTTTCGCGAGAATGTTGTCTTATGTCATACAAATTCCTATTATTCAAAATTAATAACTAATGATTACTAAAACTCTATACTGTATATCTATTAGATAGGCCATCTGAAACAAATTAGTTGTTCTGTAGACTGTTGTGTTCAAGACAGAGCAAGGCGAGTGATATTGTTTTCTATAATTGTATTTTGATAATCATATGATTAGTCACTTTTATTTTGTGTAGTTTATTTAAATAAATGAAAGGAGATATGGATTGTATATCAATGTATTATATATCATTAAGAAAGCAACTAAATGAAAAAACAATAAAAAACAATAGACCTAAATTAAGGTCAACATAGGGTCTTAATCAATTGAATATCCAAGTGGGATGACTGAGGTACATGTATAAATGCAAATATGGTAATCCCTGGGCTACGCCCAACCGGGCAGTAAAACCCATGCTAAAGAGGGGCGTTTGTTTGGCTGAGTTAAATCCGTTGTTTCGTGAAGGGAGAGTGAAAAACTCTCTTTAAGGGGCTCGTAGGTAGCCTATTGCAAGGCAGACTATGTTAAGATATTTGTATTTATATTTTTGAAGTTTGTCCTACACAGTTGCGTTGGGGCATTAAACTATTGGATTTAAAAGCAAAACAACAACAACAGTCAGATTTTGAGAGCAATTATATAACACATGAACCAAGGACTCCCAAATATATATTTTGCTTGGAAATGCCTTATAAAAAGACGGAAGCGTTGGTGAAATATCTTTTTGGGTAACGCCTTGACTCATATGTAAGTAGCAACACTATGTGAAAAATGAAAAGTGTACGTCAAATATGTAAGTAGCAACATGTTATAACGTAACAGTGACATCAAAGCGGTCATTTCTGTACATCCAAATTATGGCACTTTATCCATTTATCAAAAAAAATTAAAAAATAACGTAATTCTAAAAAGACTCAATAACATTATACTAGTTTTGTAGTTTCATCACCAGGTGGCTCTTATCATACCTCCCCCTTCAGCATAGAAGTTTAAGCCCTGTGCAAGATCAAACTGCAAATTAATTTGGTGTGGCATTATTAAGTTGCTTTCATGTCAATCAATCATAATGATTCTGATCCGCCTCCACGTGAAGTTTCGGATTACTAAAGAAACCGATCTTTCTTGATCTCTTTATGAAGATTGTTGTGCATTATGTTTTTAATTAAATAACACACGTAATATCGATTTTTTATTATCTGCAGTAAAAGCCGTCGCTTCATCAAACTTTCATCTTGATAAGAAAAAGATTTTTCAGTTATGATCAAAATATATACAATGTATCTAGTTCACCTATTATTAGAATCAATGTCAGAAAATATCAACCTATTTATTAGGCTTAGAAACTGGTGTAGAGCTAAGTAAATGAAGCCTTTCACTGTAGTTTCGAGCCGAAAACAAAAAGTTCATATACACAATTTAGTGATAATGCTACAGCAATCAATGTTAACTGACTAATCATATATGACTCTAACTAATTTACCTCTGTTATCCGACTAAGTGTAATTTCCAAACCTCACCTACGAAAAAAAAACACGTTGGAGAGGGTTAAAACCAAAAAGGTCTAAAATAACACAGAACGACCTAAAGGTCAGCTTTTCCTGAGAGGGTTGCATTATTTGATTTAGCACAATCATACAATTGTATTAACTGAAAACAGACAAATCATATAACGATGCAATTGTGACAGAAGCAAGCTGTTGGAGTAGGATATAGACCTCGGTATAGATATTTAATCTTTCGATAGACTCAACCAAGATGAATCCGCTTTTACGTGATGGATGTATAATCATTATTTCAAACACAAAATTATACCCTGGGGGTTTTATGGGATACATATTAACAAACAATTACACAAGGCAGAAACATGGCTAGCCATAGCCAGTCGGAATCGGGACGTTAAATTCGATTTCCATTTTTTTGACATGTTACCAGGCAAAAACTCCTGTCCCTACTGGAACTTTCCTCTTCCACAGTAACAGTCCAACTCCCCACCTTCCATCCCATTTGACTTGTTTGCCAGAAGCAATTATAATTATTTTTGTATCTGCTCACATCCAGATAATGCATGAACTATTAAACCATTGACGTCAAGCTAATAACAATAGTATACACCTATTTCGCCTCGAGTAATAGTTGGTATCTCAGGGACAACAAACTTGCTATTACCCTCATAACCAGTCATTAAGTGTTTTATTATACCGAACATAACAACTTTATAAAAAAAAGACTACATACACCACTTGGAAAAAAACCAAATATTCACATAAAAATGCACAAGAAGAACTATCAGGTTGTTTTTTTGCCCGTGTGGTATTTGTCAATATTTTATTTACTGTAGTCAAGACCAGGAATCCTTGTGTACAAATTCCCGTGCATATAATAAACGTTAGCTAAAATATATTACCGTTCACCAAAGCAATCCCAGATTATAAAGACGACGACAGACCCATACCATACATTTGTTATGTTTTAGTTCTTAAAATATGTCACGTTGATTTTTTTTTCTTTTGTAATTGCTTCTGGAAGTAATATATCTATACTATTAAATGAGAAGACCTCGTTTTGTGTGTCGCTTCTCTTCCTTCCACAATAAATAAATCATCATGCCTCTGTGTCCTATAGGTACCATACATAGTCGCATTTGTTATCCTCGCTTATGATTATTCCGTTTGGGTTATTTTGGGAGGAAAATGAAAATAAAGGCGTGCGGAGATAGGTTCCGTCATCGGACGGACTTTTAACTCATAGACAAGACTGTTTAAAATTACACATAATATTTTCATAGATACTTGAGGACAAAACAATTATTTTCGTGTTTTTCTGTATACTATGAACATACATATACTATAAATAAAGTGCATTTGCTATTTACTATCAATTACAAGTTTACTATCCACGGCGGTCATTGATATATTAAATAGAGTTTCTATATAATATATCAGTGACCGCCGT